AAGAGCAAAAGGCCCGGGGCATAGCAGGATGAACCAATGTGAATGAGTGTAAGCTTTGTTGCCCGAACACGATTGGCGTTGACCACACTAGGTGCTACCGTGGTAGCAAGAGAGGCCAGGCAGTGACAATTGACAGGTTGTCACTAAGCATTCCTAGTTACATGGGAAAAATGGTCAAATGGCAAGGCCATACTCCCGTTTGGCTCCTCGCAGAGTATAGCTCACATCCCAACATCTGATTGGGGAATGGGGCAATGCCCATGAAGCTCTGGCGTAAAGGGAAGGCCTGCCAGGCCGTATACACATGGGTGCACCGGGTCCGTTTACCTAAAATGATGACCGAAGTTAACTTAATTCAATTTTACAGGCAAAATTTAGCATGTTTCTCAAATTTTCACATAAATGATTTTCGGATATATGCCCGAACTGCGCATGCAAATCGAGGTGAGATAAAAGGAGGTTTTTAAGGCCTCGAAACACAGATTTAACTTGTAAAGCAAGAGATGACTTTTTGGGTCATCACAGACTAGTTGAAAGAAAAAAAAAGAAAAAGAAAAAGAAAGAAAAATTCGAAAAAAAAGAGAAGGACAAATTGAGAGGAATAAATTGTTGTCTTGTTCTTGTGCTTAAAGAAAAACTGAATAATCTTGGGGAGTGATCTTGTTTGTAAATTTAAGTGGAATAAAGAATTTGCGTTAAAATTTATTATGTGATGTGTTAAAGTACTTAGGAGGATGAACCACTAATCCTTAATATATCCTACCCATCCCTTAGCCCACATTACAACCGTATGAAGTCCAAATTGATTTTAGATCGAATGAGTCTACATTAGCAGAGATTTACATTATGGGAAAGCATATGATATTTTTTGGATGCATGTGACTTCTTTGTGAGAGTGAGAGATTTTTTTTTATATTTGTGAGTCCTTGAACTATATTTGATCATGAGATTCAAATGTGTGGATTCAACTTACTCTCTTGTTCTTGTTGTTAGGGCACATGGTTCACGAGGGATAGGTAACATTATTAGATGTTGGGTGTTCAAGCATAGGTGCATTGTGATATATATTGAGTCGACTTTTGAGGCAAGGATTGTTATGAGCATGTTATCTTTGTTGTGAATATGTGAAGAATGGCATAACTAAAGGGAAGTGTAAGTGATTGCATATGCTACAGTTTAATTATTGCTACAAATCACAGTCAAGGGTAGAGTGTATGGTTAAAAGTTGAATTGCTCCTCTATTGTTGAGACTTGTACGTAGTTGGGAGTTTTTTGATATTCTCGTTGCTCGAGGACGAGCAAGAGTTTAAATATGGGGTGTTGATATTTAGCTTAAAGCATAAATATTTATATGCATATCGCCTCATGTTTTACTTTTGTTTCGTGGATTTAGGATGTAAAATGTGTTGATTATATTAATTTGAAGTGTTTTTATGTGTAGGAACGAACCGAGAGCAATTGTTGGCGAAAGGTGCGTGATTAGAGCCAAAACGAACATAAAAGGCAAAAAGGGAATTTCCAGTGCCACAGCCAATGCCTAGGGCTACCTATGGCGCCAGAGACAGTGTGCTCCAATTTTACAGTTCCAGGGAGAACACATTTCACTGGGTTGGGCGCTGGTGGCGTGATTTCTGTCCAATTTCGCCCAAGACAAGGTTATTTCCGCGGAAGACCACCCCCCCCCAACTCGTATATAAGGAGTCCTAAACCTAATTTGGATGACATCTAAAAGACTTTAAAGGAGAATTCACGTGAAAGAACACACACCACGCTTGGAGAAGGCTTCTAACTAGTTTTTCTTCTCTTCTCTTCCCTTAATCTCTAGATTAATTTTAGTTAAATATTTATACGTTAGGATTCGCTTGAATAAATTAACTATTTTGGTTTAATTTAGTTGATAGTTAATCACAAGTCCCTGTGGATACGGTATCTAGACTTACAATCCTATATTACTTGTCGACCATGTATACTTGGGTGTGCGTTTGGAAGCAACAAGTACCGTTGTGGTGTACTCATGCTACGTTTTTGCACATCTTTTTGTGCACATCCAGGTACCTCCTATTAGTCGCAGCACTAGTGAGATGAGTTTGCATTTGGAGACTTCAAGGTACACCTGCCCGCGTCGCAGGCCTTAGAGTCACCTTCTATCCATTTCTATATTTTTCCTTCTTTACTAGATACAGTTATATAGGGATGACTTTGATACTGTTGTAGAGCTTGTGACTCAATATCGTCGGGGTTTGGGAAAATTGTATACACTAAGTGCAGAGTTTCTTTATGTAAAATATTTAGTATTTGGGAGTTAATTGTCATTTTTGTATATTTTGCATGGTTGCTAGGCTTACCTAGTCTTAGAGACTAGGTTCCATCACGACACCCTACGGAGGGAGCTTGGGGTCGTGATAGTTTCCCAATTTTTTTGAAAGGCCATCGCATTATTTTCCAAGATAAAGACATAGAAAAAGGGTCTAGAAATATCAGAAAACCATAATTTTTGCTGGCCATGGTATTAATTACACATTATTATGATCCGACCGATCCTTTTGATTGTTGTAGCTCCGTTCTCCCATTTACTATTTATTTTATTCCCAATTGTCGTTATGTGACTTGTCGGGGTATTTGGTTTTATTTTGGGGATATTTTGGAATGAGTTGAGACACTTAGTCTAAAGGTTGGAAGCTTTAGTCGAAAAGGTTAACCGAATGTTGACTTATATGTAAACGACTCCAGAATGGAGTGTTGATAGTTTTGATAGCTCCGTAAAGTGATTTTGGACTTAGAAGTGTATCCAGTTAGTGATTTGGAGGTCCGTAGTTGGTTTTGGCTTGAAATGTCAAAAACTGGAAAACTAGAAGTTTTGGAAATTGAGAAGCTTGACTGAGAGTTGACTTTGAGGTTAACGGGCTTGAATTTCGGTTTCGAAATTCTGAAAAGGTCCATTGTGTCATTTATGATGTGTGCAAAAATTGAGGTCAATCGAAGGCCGAGTGGCGAGGCAAGGGCATAATGGAGTAGAGATTTGCTAGGATTGAGGTAAGTAATACTTCTAAACTTGGTTCTGAGGGTATGAATCCCTGAATTACGTGTTATGTGGTTGGTGTTGAGGTGATGCACATATTGGGTGACGGACGTGTAGGCGTGCACTGTAGAAATTGTTATTCGGTTGACTTTATGGTATTGTGTAGTCATCAGACCTTGTAGACATTCATGTGGTCTCTATGTGTTAGAGTAATTAAGCTACCAATTCATGTTAGAAATCATGTTAGTGTATATGTTTTTCCTATTAAAACCCACTGTGGTCATTTCTGATGTTGAATTATTTGGTTAGATGGAAATTTTGTGCTCAAATCACATCCATTATTTGCATATCATATCTCAGTCTCTGTTACTAATATGTTGTGTCATATATTATTGTTTGGTCTAGTTTGCATGAGATTTGTGAGCCCGAGAGACCGGATAGATTGATGATGAGTTGGGGCCTGTGTGTCGTGCTGTGAGGGATATATATATATATATATATATATGGATTGGGTTGCACGCGGCAACAAGCCTTAGTGCTATATATATGTGGATTAGGTAGCACGCCGCAACAAGCCTTATGGTTTTATATATGAGGATCGGGTAGCAGGTATCATACATTGCTGAGTGACTGAGTGTGGCGAGCAAGAATTGAGACAGTCAGATTGAGTGCTCTGAGAGTGTGAGTACTTGGGGTTTCACTGTGTTGCATCGCATACGGTATTCATATTCGCATGTAGATATAGAGATTTCATATTTCTCTTATCAGTCACACTTGGCATATTTTATATGTATTGTACTTAACAGTTGAACCTCGAAGCATGTCTACATTTTCTGTATTGTTAAACTCTATACTTTTACTATATTGTTTGAGCTCGTCACTGCTTTTGCTTAAAGATTAGACTTGTTAATAATTGAGTTGGTTATACTCACGCTACACCATGCACTTCGTGTGCAAATCCAGGTATTTCCGGGCACGGTGGTTGCTGATCTTGGAGTTTCAGTCGTTCAGCGGTTGTCGAGGTAGCTGCCTTGGCGTCCGCAAACCTTGACTCTCCTCCCCTATCTCTCAGTTTTACTTATTCTTTTCTAATTTCTTAGATAGTGTGTCAGAATATGTTTTTGTATAGATGCTCATGTACTCAGTGACATCCAGATTTTGGGAAACTCTTTATTGAGTTGTGGCATTTTCATCCAATTTTATGAGATTTTTACTTACTTAAACCTATTTTAGTATATTTTGAATTTGAAAATGTTGGTGTTTGTGAGTTGTGTCGGCTTGCCTAGTATTATGATAGGTGTCATTATGACATACTGAGTTTTGGGTCGTGACACTTATAATATCATAGTTTCTGATGGTTCTACAGTTGGACGTATCCATTTGGCACTCATTTATATATTTCCAAGGAAACGTCACTGAAATAATGAAAATGAGAAAAAGTTCCAGGGGCGTTCATATTTTTACTAAACCATCGTAGTCTTTGTTATGAATATCGAAAACAAGTGGATATAGAAGCTTTGTAGAAGGATAATAAATTTTCATAAAATATAGTACGTATGTAGTTCACAAAACTGAATTAGGTAAAGACTCTTTTTTTCCTTTCTGAGTGCAATTGTAAGATCCAAAAAAACTAACCAAATTTTTGACTTAGAGTTGGGCGAGAATCAGATATATTAATAACTTACTATTTGTAGAGAAAGAATACAATCAATAACTGACAAAATATTCATCATAGAGTTGGAAGGGAATCAGATTTTACTAATAACAACTTATTATATATTTTAGAATTTACAACAAATAGACTTTTATATTTTCAGTAAATTTTGGAGTAAATCAGATTTTCTCTTTTGAATTTAGATTTTATTTTAGTAAAGTTTGTAACAACATTTGACCCAAGAGCCCCATGTCCCTCCTATATATAGTGATATGCTTTATCAAGCACCATCATTCTCAGTACAACTCAGCCTATCTGCAGAGATAATGACGGTTACCAACACTGAAGAGGACAACGATGACAATGATGGAATCCAATTCTAGCATGAATCCTCTTCATGGATTCTTCGACATTGAATCAATGAGTCACCATGTTTGTAAGTTCCTCTCTTCGTTTATGCTTTCATTCTAATCTATGATGTGTCAATCTGCCTTTTTCCTTTATAAAATTCACTTAAAAAAATAAAAGAAGTGGAGTCTAATTAATTATATCTAATGGCTTGTTATTTTGCAGTGTTTTGTGGTTTTACTGCAACAAGAAAAGGCGAAATGTCTAATTCGCATGGAAAGGGGACAATAGCTCCTTTGTATTCCTTTCCTCCGATGGTCGCATTGAGCTTTCTCGTCTCTTGTTGCTAGTTTCGACCCATTACATGTCGATCGTATTTATCCTTTAAAGTACGATCAGAATTATCTAAGAGGTTTATCAACAGGTAATTAAGCAACAATGAATTTTTTGTTGGTTATTTTCTTGAGTCCATATCTACTCTAAATTCTGACCCTCTTTTATTCATGTCTTCATCTCAGGTCTTCCACTAGCTTTTTGGCTGACCAATCACAAGTTTGGGTACCTGCAAAATCTCCCAGAGATGAACAAGTTTACAGCTGAATCCTGAACCTTCTTTGCGAGGAAACATGAATACTTTAAAGTAATCACGGTTTCCAATAGCAACCTTCATTTCTTGAGACCCGTGAAAAGAATAACACAGACAGACCAACTTTAATGTGGGAGATATGGGATGAATTTAACAAAATAATAAGTAGAATATGCCTTGCATAATGATTTAGACTTAGACAATAAGAAGGAATTAATTTGCATTGGAGAGGACTTTTTTCTGGCCATAGCTTCATTGTGTAAAATGTAAACTGGTATTGTAATATGGATTTCCATTTATTGTCTTGATTATTTAAAGTGAATTCCCATATTTGCAGCTTCATCTTTCATTTGATAGTTTACCATCTTAAGAGCCATTTATTTTAGACTTTTTATGTTTGCACCTATATTACCTATTAAATCATACAGTTAAGCCGACGATCCTCCATCATACTTACAATGATAAGAAACCGAGAATGTTAAAATCAAACTTTAGTAGTGTTATACAAAATAATCAATTAAAGATAGGATGTTAAGGCGGAGTAGAGAACTTCTCTTTTCTTGTTTATGTTCTTCATCACGGTTTAACGCTTAGAGCTAGTACTGTTTAAAGAAGTTAAAAGACATGCATGGAATGGAATAAGTGAACGTATCAAATGAAACAAGGATAGCTTTGCTACTGAGACAGAATAAGTGAACCTCTTTAAGTTTTCTTTTGAAATTCATGCGTTTTGAGGTTTGATTCGTAGTTCTAGAAGTTATTTTAGTTTTTTGATCGTATGAGTAAGTTCGTATAATATATTTAGACTTGTATCGATGTTTGGTTTGGAGACGTGGACTCGGGTCAGTTTCGGATGTGTTTCGAAAAGTTTTGGGCTGGAACAAGTTTGTTGGTGTGCTGATGCCTCGAGTGCCGCAATTGTGCGCACCGGCATCACAAATGCGATCTTAGTAGGGGGTTTCAGACATCGCAATTGTGATACCTAGATCGCAATTGCGAAGTAGTACTTGAGGTGGGTAGGTTCGAATTTGCGACCACTTGGTGGCATTTGCGATGGGAGCAAACTTCGCAATTGCGAAGTCAATGTCGCATTTGCGATATACCTTTCGGCTGATAGGCATTGCATGTTACATCTGTACTTTTATATTAGGATAACTCGTAGTAATCCATATGATCTTGAAGGGATTAAGATCATTCATGAGGTTATAGAGGATTTGTTACTATGTTATTGTAAGACCCCGTAAGTTTAACAACATTGATACCATTATATACATTTGATATGGTATTTTGAGTGGAACATTTTTGTAAAAAGTTTGAAAAATATGATTTTATATAGTTATTAATATTACTACTTTTGATTATGCTTTAAATTATACACATAATATGAGAAAGTCTATGAGATTTTCTTTATTGTAAAGATAGAAATTATTTTCTCACAAGAAAAGAAGGTTATCTTTTTATCATTTTAAGAATTAAGCGTACGAAAATTTGTACTCTTTATATGATATTAGTAAAAGTAGAAGATGAGAAAATATATGCATTTTTACATGGATGTCTTAATGAAATAATAGTATATGTAATGATTTTATATGGTACTATGATTTATTAATATTTTAATAGTAGTACTTTAGGATGAGGACAAGACTATTTTCGAGGATATAAGTATTATATTATGCTATTTCAAATAAGTTCGTGAAGGTGAGAGGGTAAGCAAATCTAAGAAAATGAGTTTCGTCGAAGTTTGTCATTTTTAGATAAAATATGATCCGAGCTATAATACCCGGTATCTATGGACTAGTACCATACAAGGTATCACATGACCATGATAGTAAGATATATAAAGGGTGTTAAAAGTAAGTAGTATTTTAAGTAATTTGAGATAATTCTTAATTATATAGATAATTAGATAATTATGAATTTTTAGTAGTGGATTAACTATGTAATTAAGCATGTTTGGATAAGATTGATGGGCCTCCCATGTGGAAGCAAGAGAATAAATATTCTAAAGTTAATTGTGACTCTTACTCATGTATCAAAGGTGGCACATGTGGAGAAAAGTTTGGCTAAGTCATCAAAAATGTGGGGCCCACACTTAAAGACTTAAAAATTATTCTAATTCATTTTGTGTCTCTATAAAATAATGAAAAGCTTTACAAAGAGTTACGAATCCTACAATATGAAATGAGTTAGATTGGTGGGATTCTCAAATATGATTTCATATGAATTCTTTACAATAAAGTGAGTTAGATGGCTACGTGAGTTACTTCATCAAATTCATACAAGACTACAAAGTAACGTATAGAATTCGAGGATTTATAGGGTCCCTTACAATGCTTAGCAACGTGAGAATTCTTATTCTAAGAGAGCACGGTACAATCTTTCTCAAGAATATCATAAGGATTTTCCCCTACTTTGATCTGTTGTTACGTGTTTTTCGCAAAAGACATGTATTAGAGTGATTGTCAAGAGAATCGACTCAGGTATATTAAGGTTAGTCCCTTCACCTTTTTGCATGATCCAAGTAACGATACGTAAACGTAATGCTATTCCATAAGTAATTCTACTCTTAGCAGTTAAGGATGTCTATATTATTCATTCCTGTAAAGTGATATTCAAGCATGTCTAAGTATGTTCCTAAGTCTCTATTGAGGTATTTGATAAAGATGTTAATGTTTAAAATAGACTGATACATGCATCTTCATGCATTTACCATCGGCCGGTTGGGCAGTTACATATTTACCACCGAGATACAGTAGGTCAAGCAGTCATTCATTTACCATCGAGCTACAGCCGGTTGGGAAGTCACGTATTTACAATCGAGCTACGGCAGGTTGGGCAGTTATATATTTACAATCGAGCTACGGCTAGTTGGAAAGTCATGCATTTACCATTGAGCTATGGCCGATTGGGTAGTTACATATTTACCACCGAGTTACGGCCTGTCGGGTAGTTACATATTTACCACCGCGCTACGGCCGGTCGGGTAGTTACCACTGATCAGTTGGACAGTCAAGCAACATAAGATATGGATAATAGTCTCAAAGAGAAGCATTATATATATATATATATATATATATATATATAAGTATGCATATACGGTGGCACTATAGATATTCAGGTTGATTCTTATATGTCTTTAATTTATGTTGACTTATTGTTATGTTTCAGTTCCGCCTTACATACTCGTTACATTATTTATATTGATGTCCTTATATTGGGGACGCTGCATTCATGCATGCAGGTATAGATAATTAGTTTGACGAGCCCTCATAGTAGACGAGGTTAGCATTCAGCGAAGGATCGGTAAGACTCCACCTCATTCGGAGTGCAGCTGAGTCTATGAGTCATCGTGTCAGAGTTTTGCTACAGACTTATAGGTAGGCTGCTGCCTTGTCCTGTTTGATGTCTAATACTCTTAGAGGATTTGTAGACAAAGATTCATTTGTATAGTCTGTCAGAGGCCTTGATGACCTATATGTATTCATGTTTTAAAAATGATGGTTCATTGATATAGTGTTTGCCCACTTATGGTTATACATTACGAGTTGTGGCCCACTTACAGTTGTAGATTATGAGTTGTGGCGATGTTGGCCCATGATAGTTACAAAAGGAATGAGTTTAGCCAACTCGACCTATGTATGTTCTAGCTTTGGTCGAATGATCATGAGTTACAGAGTGGTTCGCTCGGGCCAGCACAGTACCGGGTGCCAGCCACACCTCCCCAGGTTTGGGGCGTGACACTACAATTACGATTTATTCTTCGCAATTGCAAACCCAGTGGTGCAATTACAACATCTGCTCCTAAACATAAGGTCTGGAAATGGGGACTTTAGTATCATTCTCTTTTTTAGAACCCTAGACTCGGTAAGAGGCGATTTGGAGGGGAGACTTTCACCTACAATAATTGGATAAGTACTTCTGACTTGTTTTCAATATATTACATGATTATCCATGAGATTTAACATCTAATTCATGAGAATCTAAGAGAAATTTTGGGGTTTTTTGTCTATGTTTTGAAAAAAATAATTGAGATTTAAGAGTTAATTGGACTCGAATTTTGAAACAAAACTCATATATGGACTAGAGGGGTTATAGGTAGTTGAGATCTACCCTTGGACTCGGGTTTTGACCGGCGAGCCCTGGATTGACTTTTGCTGACTTTTTTCCAATTCATTAAAGATCTAATCTTTTTACTTGTAGGTAGTTTCTACAGCTTATTTTGAATTATATTTGGCTAGATTTGATAGGTTTGGAGGCTAATTATAAATGAATGGTTGTGGTTGAGTGTTGATTTGTTGTGGAAGAGGTAAGTGTTATGTCTAACCTTGACTTGAGGGAATTAAAAATTGTTGAACTATTTATTATGTGAATTAGATGGGAAAATGGCGTATATGTAAGGTGACGAATGTATATGCACCGTCGGCAAATCTAGCATGCCGGACTGTGTTATTTATTTCCATGTCTTCATTATTCCATGTTATCTGTCGTTATATGCTTTAATTGATGCATGTTCCTACTTGACATTTATGATCTACTTGTTAAATTGTTACTTAACTATTATTTGTTTGATTTTACCCATTACCCACTCAATATTTTGCTTACCTGCTATTTGTTCCTACTTGCCTTAGTTGTATATTAAAATTGTCACATGTTTTACCTGCTTTTATTTTTTCTTATGTTACTTGATGCACTCTATTATGTTATTTCACTTATGTGAGCCGTGAAGTTATTCTCGTATTAATAAATCATAAAAGTTTGTGATTTCGAGGTGTTTGATATTTTCTGTCATATTGGTGATTCTTAAGTGTTATATACACTTCATCCTCTTTTGTGTTGATATTTCATAAATATTGTTGGTGAGTTATTTATGTTAATATTATGAAATTGTTAGGGATCGGGTTGCACGCTACAACGATATTGAATTGATATGATATCAAACGAATGAATACGGACAGAATATGATATGAGATGATACTATTGTATGCGGTAAAACCGGGGGTCCAATTTCCCCGTCATTAGGTCGCCTCGCGAACATGATTCTCGAGGTTCAAAGCCGAGGTCGAGATCCACCTTCAGGAGCCGTCAGGTTTCGGCCCCGGGGGTAGTGCAACTAACGGCTATAATAGGGGAGAGGGGAGTTCCGAAGGCATGCAGCTGATATTGATAGAGCCTAATGCTATCTAGTTGTCTCATCCCTCTACCTTTATAATTAATTCATTTTGTACTATATCGGGATTCCCCCTTCTATATAAAGGGGATCCTTATCATTTTGTAAGGGTGACTGTTGTTGCTCCAACTATTCTACACGAGATAAATAATAACTCTCTATC